AAAATAAAATAATTTTTTTTAATTATTAGGCTATTTCAATTTGTGTTATTTTCTATGAGATAATACGCTATGTAATTTTAATTTATCATGAGCTATCACTCAATTACCTTGTATCAAAGATGATACTTATCATTAAATTCTTGATACGTATGCTTAGTTGCGATATTGCATGAAATAATAGTGATCCCTAAAAATATATATCTTCACATGACATTAAGAGTATATTTGAGTAACCTTCAAAAATATATTTAAATTATATATGGGATATACTTTTGCTAGATCTAATAAATAGTTGAACATTTTAAGTGAACTTTTACCATATGTAAATTGCAAATCAAACACAAATTAAATTTGCCTAATTTTATCCTAACAAGATGCACAAGCGAATGCTGAAAGAAGCCATTATACTTTAAAATTTTACGCTGAAAAGCAAATGAGTTGAGACAAGCTAATCTTTAAAATATTTGAAGGATGAATGATTATACTGTACACTGATGTAAAGTATGATACTTATACTTGTCAAAAAACATATATAAGTGTAACATATTCTAGCTTTATACAAAATTTTAATTATTTATTTAATTAGATAAAAGGTCTTTTCAATTATTTGAGCCGTGTAACATTAATTTTTTAAACAAAAAATACAGACATTGCAACTTTAAATGCTGACAAAAAAAAAATCCTTCAATGATTATATTAATCTAGTTATTTTTATTTTAAAAAAATTGAACTCAACACGACAAAAAATGAGAATATTCTATTAGCATTTAAAGTTACAATGTCAATATTTTTTGTTCTTAAAACTAATGATAGTGAGATGTTTTTTTTTACCAAAAAAATAATAGTAAAATTAAAAAAATCGAAAAGATAGTATTTTACAAAATTGAGAAATCAACTAAAATATAATACTTTTTCCAATTCTTTTTATAAATCATATTTTAAAATATTTTCTTGATCATTTATATAAGTTTTTTTTGGTAATTTTTGACTTATGATTTCAAAACTTTGCTTTAACAAATTCTAGAAAAAGTGCAACATTTTAATTTAAAAAAAAATCTTCCCTTATATTAAATTATTATTTTTTAAAAGTATGGATAAAATTAAAAAATAATTTACTTTTAAGATAACTCTATTATTCTAACTAATTTATATTGATTTTGGTGAGTTATTTGGGAATGATTCACTAAAAAAAATAGAAGGAATATATATTTATATAATGAAGGGGTGTGCAGGTGTCACACTCAGTGGTGCTTCGACGTAGAGCCGGTAATTCGGGCCAAGCTCGATGGGCTAGCCTGAATTGGCCCGAAAAATTTTAAGGCCGGGCTTAGGAAAAAAGTTTTTTTTTATGTTCAGGCCTATTCGGGCCAGCCCGAATAGGTTCGAAAAAATTTGGGCCAAGCCTGAGCCCGAATACCCGAATAAAAAAATTATATTTTTTAAAAATATATATAATATAATAAATATTAATTAATTCTTTAAGTTTTAAATCATTTTATACTAAAATATCATATATTTAAGTCCTAGACATCATTTAAATATTAAAAAAATATATTTTATATTTTTTATAAAATAAAATTATTAATTTTAAGGTAAAAAAATAATTTTAAAAATTAAATTCGGGTATTTGGGCCGCCCGAGGCCCGAAGAAATTCGGGCCAAGCTTGGCTATTCGGGCTTTTCGAGAAAGCGGACTTGTTCGGGTTCGAGCTTATTCGGGCCGAGCCTATTCAGACTGGGCCCGACCCGCCCGAATTTCTAGCTCTACTTCGACGTGAGCACCCATTGAGAACGAAACGAGGAAGTTTCGAGGAAAGCCGGAATTGGAACTCAGACGGCAAGTCAAGGGAACCAAACCAAGACGCCTAAACGATGTCGTTTAGCTAGTGCCTTTCCCTTTTCTTGCGAAAACGCGTCTGGGGTTTGGATTTTATATACCTCGGAGAATCCAAGTCATTTTCACAAAAAGAGGCCCAAAAGAAATAATAATAATAATCCAGACACGCGGTTTCACTCGGTTTTCTTTCCGTTTGTCATTTTCTCCCTCAAAAAATCTAAAATTATTAAATACATTATCCAAAAAAATAATTAAACATACAGAGTTTTAAAGCAATGGAAATTAGGTCTAATAAAAAGAATTAATTTTTTATGATATGATAAATCAAAGTTTAAATCCTCACTAAAAAATATGCTCGTATTTAATATCTGATCCTATCTCAAATAATAGCAGAGCCACATGTATTTGAGGGGACATAATGGAAAAAATTTCTTACATGAGGTGAGGGTATAGGTATTTATATTTTGCACCTACTTTTTTTATATTTTATATTTTAAACTCATTTCATATTACTTTTTAACTTAGATTCAAAATTATTTTTCTTAACTCAAGAGCTCAATAATTTTAGCACACAATTTCAATATACCCAAAGAGTAACATTTATTAAATCTGTAAGAAAATAAAAAAAATAATTTGACTTGCGTCATTTGAAATCTCAAATCAAATTTGCAAAAAACATAGTTGAAACTGAAAGGCATATTGTTTATCCATTGGTTTATCTTTTTCTAAAATTAGCAACAGCGTTACCTATTGCTATAGCAACAGTTGAAAAAGCTTTTTTTGTTAAGAAGTTTCTGAAAAATTAGTTGCATAATCAAACAGAGAATCATGAATGAATAATTATCTCATGACTTATATTAAAAAAGATGTATTTGAAATTATTAACAATGAGCTGATTGTTTAATGGTTTCAAAACATGAAATCACATAAAAAAATTATAAGATATGTAATTATTAAATAATTTTTATTATTTTTTAAATTATAAATATGTAAAGAATTTTAATCTCTTAACTTAAGATCCTGACTGCACCACTAATCTCAAATATGATTGTTTTACATGGAAGGATGTATGTGTGTAGGTAGAAAAAATAGAGTATATATTCCAATTCAGATAATCAACGCTTCTTTTATATTGATATATATATACACACACACACATATATATATATGCTTTTCATTTTGAGGAATAATAATAATTAGTTTTATAAATTCGTGTTACGTTTAGATTGCACCACTTGGTCGTTCCATCTCATTTAGCATCCAAGTGTTTTAACAGATAATATTAACTTAAGATCATGGGCTCGTCATCCATTACGTTGGAACTAGCACTAATTAGTAATTACACATTTAAGTGATTGTGATTTAATTCTAAAACTAACCATCAAACTTCTTTCCAAATACAAGTTTATAAAACATAATCTATGTACGAATATTTTTCTTAAAAAATGTTCAACAAATCACAAAGTAAGAACACTGGCGATTCTCTCCCTTTCAATGTATTCCTTGTGAAAGCAGGACTAGAATTCATTTGTTATTATGGATTATTTATCCCCATCTATTAATATTTACCAGCATTTTTATATCAATCCAATTTGTAGCGTTTGCTGAGTTTTTTTTTTTAAATGTAAAAAGTAAAATCATGTTGCGCATGTTTTTATAGGCGTTGACATTCGTCATGTCCATGTGGTCCTACAAATGAACTTAACTTTCATATCATTGGAATTGGAACTGAATACAGGCCCTTGCACCGAGCAGAGAAGTATAAGAAAATTTCTTCTAGAATTAAATATTATATATAGAATATAGAATAGAATATGAATTATAATAACAAAGCTAGATATGTCATTTTTAGATGCCATGATCCGTTAATCATCCATTCATATTGCCAAAAAATCCAATATGCCAAAAAAAAAAATTCATGTTGCACAAAATACAGGCGTTGACATTCAATTAATTAAGGTTCACATAATGCAACTATCATCATCCTGCTTCTGATGCATTTAGCATTACAAATGAATCTGACTTTCTTAACTTAAATATAACTAGATAGGTCTAGATCGTTGTGTTCTCTTGAATTTCTGCGCTGACATAGCCTGTCTGTGTCACATAAATGGGCCTTTAAATAAGTCACAAGCCCGGTTACGTATGGAATTCGTGGTCCAACCCAGAAGCCCACTGCTGAAATCTGTGGTACGGAAGTTGCCGAAAAATTACATGCTCCATCCAGCCTAACAGAAAGATAAAGACACCCAGTACCAGCATTTGACTAACGAGCACAGTTTGTAAATCCAGGTAAATCTGTCTGTTGAACCGGTAAATTATTAAATCAGTATTTTTATTCATTTAATGCAATGCTTTATTTATAACTAATTTGATTTAATTATAATTTTGACTATTAATTGTTGAATCCCTTCCTTAACCGGTTTAATAATTAATCCAGTTTCCAGTACTTTGCTTACAAGCTACAATACAAGGCAAGTTTACTTATTAGCATATGAAGTATTTTCTTTTTAAAGTAAATCTCTTAAGCAGCTTAAATGGCAGTTCATTTTACATCATGGAAGTTGAATCAAACTTGGCGGCTTGAAGTCCTTAGGAATAATTCCCGCCAATTCTCTACTAGTTATACAATTGCCTGTTTAGTATATGCCTAAATGCGAAATTCATATAAATATGCCCACGAAAACACAGATTAAAGCATGTCCTTTATATGAATTTAAATCCTCTAAGATTTGTAAATTCTGGTGAGTTTTACCTTTTTTTTAATATTTTATTATTATTTTTTATAAAATAGAAAATATTTTTTTTCTTTAAAAAAATTTCACAAAAATTTACAAATATATACCTATTTGGTATGAAGGTGGGCAATACCCCACACCCCATATTTACTGTAACACGCTTCGAGTGTGTTCAATCGTCCACCGAATGTATTGTGCTTCTGTTCTTCTCATATCAATCACACGCATCAATTTATTAAGCATCATTCTCTTAAGCCACGGTCAAATGCAATTATATATCATATATAAACACCATTAGTCCCGAAAACAAGATATTTATAAAATAAAGAGACAAAATAAGCCCTTTTATTTTTAAAAAAAGTTTTTATTGAACAGTGTGCTGCAGCTCATGAATTTTTTTTTTTTCACAGTTCAAAACGGAGAGCTGCAAATATCAATTTCAACTTATTATAATTATTATATAATACAAAGGCATCTCCGCATATCTGCCATCATAATACAAAGCGAGAATTTTAAGACGAAAAATAAGATAACAGCCTCTAACAGTACCAAAGAGGCTGGGGGCAAAAAAAAGAAAAAGAAACCTGAATCTTCCTATCAAGAACCGTGGCGGGAAGAGGCATTCGTGAGTGATCCCACGATTCTCTGAATCTTTCATGTTGCTATTCACGTTGTTCCTTCACAAGGCAGCCAACATGAACTGCCTGTCTCAGGTTCCTTTTATTACTGATCCAACACACCTCCATTACTTCATATTTTAGCAGCCACAAATGCCTGCAATAGTATATATTCAAGCCTTGCTTGTTACTACTCCATTCCAATGTTGACAAACATTATTCACCCTCACTAATCTTATCGGTTATTTCTTGTCTGAACTTCAGAATTTTGCTTCATTCTGTTCTATGCATGTTTGCTCAAGGTTATCAGCATTTCTATTCTCCACAATTCCAACTTCAAACCAAATCCCGCTTTGGTCAAATTGATCAGTACAGCATCAATTTAACAAGTACGTAATAAATTTATAATAAGTTAAATGACTTATGAATAGTACCACTTTAACAAGTTGGCCTCCCACATTTCAAACAATACATTAATTAAAGTTCTATATTCAAGTTAGTTGGAGTGATCGGCGCCTGACTGCGTTTGTTCTTCCGAAGCCGAACTTAGGTTTTTTCTCCATAGGCTTTAATATTTGAAAGGAGCACCTAAGCGTCGCATCCACAGTCATCATCGCACCAGCATTGTCAAACTCTCCACAGTAATTTGGTGCTGAGAACACAGTTACAAGCTGCCTATTAGCAAAGAATTCATATCCATCTTCCACGACCTGCAACAGTACTGGACATCATTAATCACAAAGCCATACAACCAAATCCCAATCATAGTTTCATATTCAAGATAGAAAGCACACAAAACCTGGTGGGCTCTACAGATTAAGTCCAGATCATTCTTTCTCAGAAATTCTGCGACCCTATCAGCACCAAAAGTATACGAAACACCGCGGTCATTTGCTCCCCAGCCATAAATATCTTTACAAGGATCAGACCAAAGGAGATCACACAGCAGACCACTTTCAGGCACTTCACAAGGACGAGGTAGAGTCCTGATCTGCTTTAAGTTGTACAACTCAGGGGAGAGTCCACCATGCATGCATAATATTTTGTCATCTATAAGAGCTGCCGCCGGCAAGCAGTTGAAACAATCTGTGAATATCTTCCAAAGCCTCACATTGTATCTGCACTTACATTCATCATAGAATCCATAGATTCTGTTGATAGAAGCACATTCATGATTGCCCCTCAGCAGGAAAAAGTTAGCAGGATACTTTATTTTATAGGCAAGAAGAAGACAAATTGTCTCCAGACTTTGTTTCCCACGATCCACGTAATCCCCTAAGAACAAGTAATTGGACCGAGGAGGTAATCCACCGTACTCTAGGAGTCTCAGAAGGTCAGGATATTGACCATGAATGTCTCCTGATAATAACAGTGAAATGATACAAGGTATCCGCTCTGTACTTACGTAACTGAAAACACTATCTTAAAGGACAAGTAATACGAGATATTAGCTCTAAAAGGATACAGCAATAATATCCACTTAATCAAACTATGTAATTGTCATATTATTATTAATTATGCACTTGTCATGTTTTAATTGAAGCAGGGACGGAACTAGAAATTATTGACAGGGGGCGGGAAAGTTGGAATTTTTTCAAAAAATCAGCTAATCTACATGTAATAATCCAAATATATTACAAATGAAGACTTCTTTTTTCTTTCTTTTTTTTGGGGGGGGGGGGTTGCTCCAATTTAGCGTGACCTAGGTTTTCATTAAAAAAAAAAAAAAAAGAAACCTAGGCCCATCCCTGGATTGGAGAACCACATGTCGAAGATATAAAGAATGACATCTAAAGTACTTTCGCCCATAAATAAAACCTCATGGTACTTGAGTCCATCTCACAAAGCAAGTACTTCCATTTGAATATACATTTCAAAAAGCAAGTTTAGTTAATAATAATAGAAAAAATTAATCTTTTAATCTTTCAATTTTTAACTCACTTGTAACTCAGTCTCTCAATTATAACTTGCTGCAACTCAGTCCCTCAACTTTTGATTTACCTATAACTCGATCCTTATTTTTTAATTTTTTTTAAAAATTTTTATAAGAGGAATAAAAAAATGCTCATATATTATTTTAAAATACCTCTTCTTATTCATTAATGTGAAATATGAATTAGCATGAAAAAAAATTAACAAAGGTTAAGGGACTAATTTGTAAGTGATTCAAAAGTTGAGGGACTGAGTCATAGGCGAGTTATAGTTGAAGGATTGAGTCACAGCGAGTCATAGTTGAGGACAGAGTTACAAGTGACTTAAAAGTTGGAGGACTAAAAAATTAATTTTCCATAATAATATGATGCAATTACCAGAGAACCTCATAGTTAAACGTAATTCAGTAAATCCATTCAAGCCAAACCCAGAACAAAGTTTCACCAGCCCTTGCAAATTTGATTACCGTTGTAAATAATAAGCCATTCTTCTCCAATACAAAGCAACTTTGGTTCCCTTTTTAGTCTAGATTAGAGAACAACATAAACTTAAAAGCCAACTCAGTAACCCACCAGAAACCACACAGAATCGCGCGTACAAACACTTAAATTGAACAAGAAACTAGGAAGCAAAAGAGAAACGAAACACAAGGTTCATGAATAGATACCACAGATCTTAATTGGAGCTTCAAGTTCCAACAGATTAGGCTGCCTCAAGAAGATGTCTCTGGAAACAAAACAGAGCTGCCTGATTTCTGTTTCGGCGAGATTCACCAGCTTCCCTGGTCTCCCTCTGACTTCAAGTAGCCTGTTGATCACAGAATCAAGAACCCCACCGTCCATACTCAGGGCTCGGACTTCCTTCCCCTTAATTTCAAACGACGAGCTAAGCAAGCAAGGAACAACAAAAGGGAAGGGATAAAAGGCTAAGAAGAATAAAGAACACTGTCTTGATCACTCTGGGTCTTAAATATTACCATCCCTTTGACAAAAAAAAAAGAGAATTTTAAATCAAATTAGGGAAGACTTTGGTTTACGGGTATAAGCTTTTGAGGGAGAGGGAGAATAAAGAATAAGAAACGAATGGCAGCCGCTGAATAGGAAAGCGAAGAATATATTCGCCTTGGAGGAGGAGAGGGTATAAAGTTCAAAGAAAGAAACAGTGAGATTGTGCAGAGAAGGAGATGGGGGGTGGGGTGGGGGTAAGGAATCAGAGCGTGAGTGTGTGATTATTGTTTAAAGCGGACAAGAATATAACACACTCTAGAACACGGAGAGGGTTGTATTGCAGAAGAAGATGTTTGGTTCGGGGACTTGTCACGAATAGCCAGTAGACAAAAGGTGACAATTGAATGGACAAGGTTTTAGAGAACCCAAAAAAATAAGCGAATGATATAAGGAAAAATTTCATATTGATCTATTACTATAAGCCAGGGGCATTGATTTAAAATTAAATTTCATAGCCAAATGATATTACTGCCTCTCATTGAAAGAAAAAAGACGAACATAGATCAAGAAAACAGACGACGCACATAATGAAGTGGAAGATCACAAACACTTCCGTTGTCAAGGAGGAATCTCTCTAATACTTGAACTAAGGCGTTTGAAGATTAGCGATATCTCCGTCGACTTCCAGGACTTGAAATAAAAGATCAACTCTTATATATAATTAATTACAAGTAAGGATTATTCATTATAATTACAAATCTTAAAATACAAAAAATACAAATAGAGATTCAAATCTCTCTAGGACTTGAACTGGAGCATATGAAGATTAGCAACACCTCCATTGCCAGAGTTAACGCACACGAATCTTTTGACGGAAGAAGAATTGTGGGTAACATGCAAAAAATTGAACAGAGAAAACGTACATGTTATACCAATATGTCTCTTATATATTGCTATGTGTTTGAAAGAATTTTAAGTAAAACATACCAATAAAACATGCTCATTCCAGTATATCTATGATATATCGGCATGTGTTTAAAAGAATTTCAAGTACAACATATTAGTAAAACATGCTCATACTAATATGATTTTATGTTTGAATGACGTGTTCGTTGTTTTAGTGCATGTGGTTAATTGCCTTGCGACAGTTGTTAATTTTCTTACCGCACTTGTTTTTTACAGCATTGACTAAAAGAATTTCAAGTAAAACATACAGTAAAACAAACTCATATCAATGTCTATGACATACTGGTATGTATCTAATATACCTATATGTGTTTGAAAGAATTCTAAATAAAACATATCGGTAGAACATGATCATACTGCTAAGATTTCACATTTGAATGATTTGTTCATCGCTTTAGTGTGTGTGGTTAATTATCTTACAATAGTTGTTAATTTTCTTATCGCACTTATTTGTTATAATATTGACTGAGAGAATTCCAAATAAAACATTCAGATAGAACATGCTCATACTGATAGGATTTCATGTTTGAAGACTTATTCGTTGCCTTAGTGTGTGTGGTTAATTATCCTATAATAGTTGTTAACTTCTCTACCGCACTTGGTTTTTTACAACACTGACTGCTTTCTAAGGTTTTAGTTTAATGTTTAAATGATTTGTTTGTTTCCCTACTATATAGCGTTCATTACCCGTACTGCATTTTGTTAATTTTCCTACCCCACTTGTTCTTTACAACAAGAATATATGGTAGAGTAACTAAAAAAGAGGTACCGATATGTAACACAAATATCGATGAGAAGCACATATACCAGTATAAGAGGGATATACTGGTACAAGTCTTCGATATGCATAGAGGAGTAGTTGAGAAGGAGATATCAATATATAACACATATACCGGTATCAAATGCTCAATGGAATGCTCTTCTATATCTAAACTAAAAAAAGAACAATGCCGACCAAAAGAAGCTATGAGGTCAGACGCAACGCCCGACCGGTTGGTGGCTCAGTCAAGGGAGATTCTTGGATAGGAATTCCGACGATGGAGGTATCGCTAATCTTCAAACTTGAGAGTTTAGGAAGCATAAGTATGTCATCCGTGCTTATCGAAGATGTGTGCGATGATAGGTGAACGCTGAGTAAAATTTTTCCACTTGCTTAAGGGCGATCCTATAAGTTCAAGTTTGAAATAGAGGTGTAATTGATTTTTTACATGTTCACAAGACATGTGCATGAGCTAACGAATAGTTTTTTATTTGTTCTTGTTAACAATGAGGGGAAATATTATCATTTGGCTGTGAAATTTAGTCTTAAATTAGTGCCCCTACCTTGCATTGATATATTAATATTTTTTGGGTGTTCTTTTTTATTAAGTATCGTCAAAGGGTCTGAGTGAAATTTGGCCATGGTATATTGTATATATCCTATTTTGTGGTCCTTCTAAAATTAACTAGAAATCTGAAATCTAGAACCCCTTGCTGCAACGGAGGGTTGACTTGGATGTGCAAAAGAGAAAACGCGGAACTAGTTCTTCTCATGACTCCGTGATGTATTTGATACACTAGAAAGTACAATAGAAGTTGAAGTATAACACCCCATAACGAGGGTAAAAGTAAAACGAAGAGAGGCTTGAGTTTTACGTACTTAAATAATTGAAAAAGATGCAAAAATAATAAGCAACATGTATTTCAAGTTTGTTTGTTTATTTACTTTTAGTGGTGATGGTTAGAGCTTAAGCAGCATGTAAGTAAAGGGAAAGGGACCATGAGAAGAATCCATGACTAAGAGAATGAGCCGTTTGGTCTGTTTGGCTTTGGCACAATGAAAGGGCTAAACATCGCTCACCCATAAATAAAAAAGGTAATCTAGCAAGGGAATTTTGGGCTGTTTAAAATTATTTTTATTTTATTATTTTGAGAACTGATATTTTATAAAACATATTTTAAAAATAAAAAAATAATAAAAATAAGTATTTTTTATTCTTCCTTATTTTTTAAAACAATAATTCCAAAACACTTAAAAGTTATTTTCATTTTTCTGTGCTTTAGAATAATTTTTTATTTTTTAAAAACACGTTATTAAATAAATTTTTTTTATCCTTTTATTTTGGAGAACAGAAAACTATTTTCAAAATACATTATCAAACAGGCCTTAACCTTTTCTTTTCTATGCCAAATTGCACCATGTAGCATTGCAGTAGCATTTTTCTTTCTTTTTCTTTGTTTTTTTTTTTTTTGGAATCGAAAGGGAATCATATATTCAAAGGAACGAACAACAGCACAAACAAAAGACAAACCTAAGGTAACATCAAGCTTTCATCAACCACCACCATTGCAATAGCATTTCAAAAGATGCAAGTGATACTTCTCTCTCACATCTCCTTTCACTTGCCTTCGACGGAATAGAACCATGCTTTTAAAATTTGACAAAAAGCTCTTACCTTTTAAATTTATATGCATTGCCTTGATTTATTTATTATCTTGGAATGTATCACAATAAAACATTTACATGCGAATTATTTGAAATCTAAAGTATTATTTGCAGATAAATCAAAATTTAAGAGCATTCTATGTCTGCTAAAAGAATCAGAATTTTACGGCCATAAATGTTTCACGTTTCCTTTGCAAAATAATAAACTAATTAAATAAACGGTTGACTTTATCAATACAGATTTGACGTTTGATTTGGATTGAGGAAAAAGTTGGGGAAAATATAGAGGGGAGGGGAGGACAAATTAGGGGGTGGGGCTACAAAAAATAGTAATAAATTTATTATTTTTGGCAGTTTTTTCCCTTTTCTTTCCTATCTAATTTTCCCCCAATCTAAATAAGAGTAAAAATTAAAGTAGTTCTGTAATAAAAAAAAAGTTAAGATAGTTCTTATAAAAATTTAATAGGTAAGAAGGTTATTTACAAATGATTCAAAATCCAAGGCCGTCTTATATAAGTTAATCTGAAATGTAAATCTATATGTGAAACCTTGTTATTCATAATTCACCAACCATACAGCTCCTTTTATCTGGCCAAAGTAAAAAATAAATATCCAACTCTTAATTCCAGACAACTTTTTAAATCTTTTCACACTTTATAATGCTTATGTACAGTTTTATTTTTATTTTTTCAATATGAGTAAAATGAATGAGTAGCCTTTTTTATATTTAAGATAGTTTTTAAAGATTATTATCATCAGTTGCCTATTTTTATTCTTATTCTTTCTCCAATTATTTTTTGTAGATTCCTTTACATTTCTATTCTATCAAACACCTAATAAAAATTATTCCTATTCCATTTTCTATTTATTAAACATGTGTTCATTAGAAGATTCCATTACATGCTCCTCTCCATTTCCATGTCTATGTCGTCAAAAATATTTTCACATTGAACCAAACTTGGTCTATAAACCTACATTATTACAAAAACTGAAAAACAATCTTCAAGATTATTTTCCGCCCTGACCAGGATCAAACTGCACATGATTTCACGAAACTAAAAAACAAACCTTGTTTCATCTGTATCGCCAATGTCTGTCGAGTCGCGTTTTCCTTCTATTTTATCTTCGTGTATTCTCTGTTCGGCCAACATTCTTCCAATTATCATGACAAAAGAATTTCTTATGACCAATACACTCAAAATATTAATCTTCTAAAAAAACATCGATCTTCTAAAAGACATATAAATAAAATATTTCATGATTTTGAATTTTTTATAAACTTAATTATCCATGATATTGTATGTATGTATATATTAGCAATCACATCTTAAAATTGCACAATTATTCGCATACAGCACCCAATCCTGCCACGGAAGTATAATTACAGAAGGCCGCATCTAAGTTAATATTAATTTCACCAAAGGGTGGATTGGGCCAATGAATTTCAGATGCCTGCGGTCTATCTTGTGATTCAAGAGAGAGCAAACCATTGAGCGCACTGTTGGTGGATTCAATGACCTTCATACGATCGAGTGGTGAATTATTGAAAATAAGATCAAACCTCATTTTCCATAAATTCCAGCAGAAAATAACACACAGTGGACTGCCAAACCAAGCTGCTAGTACACAAGCACATGCTCAACAAAATCAACGTCCTTAAAGCATATCGGACAAACAGTACTACTACCACATCGCTTCCTATACGTAAAGATCCTCCTTTAAGAAAATCTCGCCCGCGTAAAATGCTATGCCACATGCATTAATCCTTCGGCCTTTTGACCCCATTCATAAAGGAGCAGTTGGGGAAATACATACTCTTCAAGACTAGTCTAGTAACATATTTCCTCGGCCCGTTCTTTCCTGGAGGCGAACGACTCTT